TAAAACAAACTTCTGTAAACTCGTCTCAACTATTTCTTTTTTTTCTAAATACAACGCGTTTCCTTAGTATACTTCTCCAACGCCTCAAATTCCAATTTTTAAAAAATCATCGCGGACACGTGGCGTCCATCCCCAGTGAAAATTCTGAGCAGCAAGATGGTAAGCGGCGTGGTTCCCGCGCCACTTCCCGCACATCCTCCCGTCATTTAGGATGCTCCCCTCTGCGGTGCCTAATGCCATCAAGCAATCACGCCGCGTGACACACAAAACATATTGTTATTTTTTCGAAATATTACTGGCCCGAGCATGGAGTGACCAAAACAAAACAAAGAATTAGACCCGGAGAGAGAGTGACGCGAGCAAATTTACTCGATCCACCACATTGCGTAACTTCGTAGTGCCGATCAAGCTCTACTGTACCGATCGACTTTAAAAGCTTAAATGGATGAGGACAGGAGAAAAAAAGGATAAGAACGACGGACAACGACGGGATTAATCGTGAAATTTATGATTTGCGACTTTGACATCGCGAGCCGAAAAAGTTTCGCTCGGAACGCTGACGAGCGTGAGTTTTACGGCACTGCGTTATCAATCCGGAACTCTCCTCATGACCTATACAACGAACTGTACCCAGAACGGATGCGGGGATGGATTGGTGTCACGTGAACCCTCCGGATATACCAGCTTCCTAGTCTTGCTCACCTACTTTATAGCCATTTCGTTTCATCGGAAACGTTCGGAACATTCGCCATTTTGTTCCGTGCACCAATATTTTTTTACATTAACTGAATCCCTCATAAGTCGCAAACCTATAAGCCAAACTCCGCAAAATTAAAAAGCAATGTAAGTTAACGAAGTAATGGACCAATAGACTCTGGTACTAAAATTAAGGAACTTAGAAAAAGTTGGCTACTTTTAGTTGCGCTACGTTATAGTTTGTAACACTTAAAACAAAACAGGTGAATAATAAGATATCAGAAAAAAGAAGGAAAATCCGAAGAACTTTAGGCTTATTCTTTGCGGCTGAACTTTTGTATTTTTTATCTTCTTTTTTCTTCTCTAACGTTTAATTATATGTTACTACTTTATTTTATTATTTTATTTTAAATACAAGAAGTGTAATGCACTCGGTAATGTAGCTACGAGGTATGTGTGTACAAATAATTTGTTTATCTTAATCATTTGCGACTCATTTTACTTCCGATTGCACGTGACTTTATTTCGACTCAAATCGACATATTTATTGAAATTTTATGTATTAAGTTATAAACCTTTATGCAGAAAGCATGCTATGGATTATTTATTGCAGAAAAGAACGAGATAATTATTCTGCTATAATGTAAAGTTTTATACTTTCTCTACGCGCGAAACTATACAAAATAAGTGTTATTACAATGTAATTAGATTATGCAAGTTGTCACAATTTTTGCTTTTTTCTGAAGATAAAGAAAATGTGAATTACTAGTATTTTATGTAGTATTCCAGCAAATTTAATTTATTTAACTGGACAGAAGAATATAAAAAAAATTTTTTTTTCTATAAAGATTTCTTATTTTCGCTTTGATAAATAAATAGTGATGATGTATATGTAACACATATTTTTATTTTGAATCTTGGTCTCTGGTTTTTTAAATCATAAATACCGTCTTGTATATAAGTAAGATCATTTGAAAGCATCTTTTTCATCGTCATGCATGCGATATTGAAAATTTTTAATCTTTCACAAGATCACAGTACGTGATTCACGTATCGAATAGTATTATTTAATAAGATGCATTATTTCTTTTTTTTCTCTTAAAACATTCAATTGATAAGTATATACATATAAGTGATAAATATTAAATTAATAAATACGTGTATTTTTAACTAGCAGCCTTAATTGTACGCGATCGCGTATCAATTTGACGGAAACATGGGTCAATAGTGCAAAATGGAAAAGAATTGTGCTGTAATTGCGTAATAAGCGCGCGTCGTTTTATTTCCGCATTGATAGCGCCTAATTTGGGTTGATGGCTCTTAGAAGTCTGGATGCTCTTTTCGCTGATCGCGCAATGAAGAAATGAAATTACAATATTCTGCCTGAAAAAGAATCTCGGAATTTATGCTAATAAACATTAGGTGTTTATACATTAATTTTTCCTAACGCGAGCGTAAAATGGGCCGCTTTTCGCGCTTGTTTTGAGTGAGCAAAACGATCCATTTCTCCACTAGTTGAAAAATGGAGCCATTTCTCAACTAGTGGAGAATAGTTATTTGTGTAACAAGTGCGGGAAGTTGAGAATTGGACACGAGTGCGGAGTGGACGCACGAGCCGAAGGCGAGTCAACCCGCACCTTATTTTATATTACAAAGTGCGTGGAAAGTGGCCTATTGCGCGCGCGTCATCTGTGCGACGGATGGCCGATTCCGCACGCGCGAGAGATTTCTCACTCGAGGTCGTGCGGGAATGAGATATTATATCACACGTGCGTGGAAAGTGGCCCATTACGCGCGCGCCATCTGTGTGACAAATAGCCAATTCCATACACGAGTCAAAACAGTGCGGTAATGTAACAGTTTCGAAGAAACAGTGCGGTAATGTAAACATTACCGCACTGTTTTGACTCGTGTATGGAATCGGCCATCCGTCGCACAGATGACGCGCGCGCAATAATGGGCCACTTTCCACGCACTTTGTAATATAAAATAGGGTGTGTAACACGTGCGGGATGAGAATTGGACACTCGTGCGGGTGATCGCACTCGCCTTCGGCTCGTGCGTCCACTCCGCACTCCAATTCTCAACTTCCCGCACTTGTTACACAAATAACTATTCCCGCACGCTGTGTGATATAAATAAAATTGTAAAACAAGCGCGAAAAGCGGCCTGTTTCACGATCTTGTTTGGAAAAATAGTATGAACAACTCGTGGGAAGAGTGGTCGAGCCCAAATAAGTGTGATGGTCGCACTCGCGCTTCGCTCGTGCGACTAACTTCACACTCGTTCAGAATTGACCACTTTTTCCACTAGTTGTACAATATACTATTATATCGGAAACGTATCATTTCTGTAAATAATTGTACAATTAAAGCTGTTAATTAAAAAATACACAATCAGATTTAATTATTTAATATCTGTAACTTATCAAAACACTTATCAATTGAATGTTTCAGGAAAGAAAAATAATAATAATGCATTTTTACCAATTCCTGTAAATTTCTGTAAAATTCGTCATTTATTGCATATCCCCGTAGGGTTTGCAATCTAGTATCCTGTGGCGTTTTTCAAAGGGACGTACCCAACCCTATCCAACTCCTCCATTACCATTACCATTTCCTTTTGGACCAACGGTTTATCGTCTCTTCCGAAAGATGGAGCCTAGTTTTCCATCTAGGGATACCTTTCTCCGCTAAATGGAGGGGGGCGGCGTTTTTGCTGAGAAATTCTCAGTGGCCTAGCGGGATTCGAAATTCGAACCCGGTTACTGCAACCTGCTCCGGATTACAAATCTGGTGCTCTACCCACCAGACCAGCCGTCACCCCTAATGCATTTTTACTAAATAATACTATTACATTTGAGTATTTTTTCAAAACAACTCAATAAACAAAGGCAACTTTGTTTCTTTCTTTCTGTCAAATAAATAAAACAAGCTCGAATCTAATATTATTCAACCTTAATAATCGTTTCAGGAATTGAAATGCAAAACGGAGCAAGAAGAATGCAAGAAAATCAAGCAATGATCTCATATATTCCTTAGCTTAGCAAATACATTTAACGGTTGTTAAATGAGGATTATCCGGGAGAAGTGATAATGGAGGACCGCGACACGCACGCGTCTGCAATTGAGGCTCTTGAGAGACGTAATTATTATGTCATACGTGGCATCGAAAAAAAGGGAGTCCGGAACATAAGTGTCAAATGGAATAGAAATTTATTTAACTTACCAAAGATGATAATTAAAAAAATAAAAACATCTTTGCTATGTTGTTCAAAGATAAGTTGTTTTGTATGGATTATTTAATTTTGAGCCAAACTTGAAACTTTTTGAAATATAATTTACACATACATATTACACACACACACACAAGAGTTATTGAGTAAAAATAAGTTTTAAAAAAAATACAGTTTGCAATGCTCTAAATTAAATACAAAATATAAATATTTTGTCTCTTTTTTTAATATTTGATTCTATAAATAAATTATAAGTGCAGTAAATCTCTTTTGCTTTTCTGTCAAAAACATCCATTTTAATTTGATAATCGACAACTACGTTATTGATTATTAAAATTATTATTATTTGTTTTATTATAAATGAGAAAACGTTTGAGATATGGTAATTTTATTTTTCTCATATTTGGAATAATAATTAACTATTTCTCTGAAATTGAGAAATGTAATCGCCATTATTCTGTTTTGTATTAAAGAAAGATATAAATATTTCTACGCATAAGGTATACTCTTATTTAAAAATCCTACTCTTATTTTTACAACAGTGTCATTTTAGATCCTTCAAATCCCGAAAGTGTAATTTATCCTATTGATACGGCTAGACTTGCGAAGAAGAGAGTAGTACATGTACGCAGGAAGATCCGGGCGAGATGAGATAGCCTGGTAGCCAAGAAAATCCATAAAGTGCAAGACTTTATGAGAAGCAAAAAGCGAAATTAGGGAAGCAAGAGAAAAAATGCATGCAGTTGCGAGCACGCGGAAGAGAGTGAGAGAAAATTAGAAGGATAGGGAGGTAGAAATCAACTCGATGATGATATACTGTTGCGATCTTGGCGTAACCCCCTTTTTTCTCCTCTGTCACTTTCTATTTCTTTCTCCCATACGCTCCTCCTCTCTTGCTCTTCGGCAGAGACTATCGGCAGATAACGTTCCACAATGTTGACGGGGGCGGCGGAGAACGTAAGGGCGCGCGGTAGGTAGGCATGAATCACGGGCAGGGGAAGAGGAAAAAGGGGGTACCCCCGGATTTTCTTCCTGTACGACCAATTTCAGTCACTGCCGGCTGGCGCGACGTGCGTGGAAGATCTGAGACTGAAGACTGATCGCAGACCAATTGCACACAGTATTCCGCGGGTGACACTCGCGCTCGCAACGTAGAGAGTCTTTACTCTCTCCCCGTGGTATCCGCGTCGTGTTTCCCAAGCCAGTACACCCACGGCAGGCGAACGCGAGCGATCGCGACCCGCGCGGATCGCACCTCGAGATTATCTCCCCGAGAGATCAGTGGTGTACTCCGGAGGAGTAGATGAGATTTCGCGGCCGGCAGATCGACTGCGATTTCAAGATCGAGATCGGGAGAAACGCTCGTTGAAGAGAAACTGAAGATCGGCTGAGAGATTTGATCAGTTTTCAAGTTCCATCGATTACCGAAGATTTTCATCGCCGAGATTGAGCGTGAACAATCATCGCAAACACAACTCCGGCAACGAGCGCGAGATTATACATTTTGCGCGCCCATTAAGAGTGCTCAAAAAGTGCAGTGTGCAAAAACAAATCAGATCGGGGCCGGAGATTTCCATATAAAGTTTCATTGCCGGATTTAAGTAAGGTTCGTAGACCGCTTGGGAATCAGTATAACCAAGATGTTAAGCTTAAATAACGGCAAATTTATTGCGCAATTAGTAAACAATTAGTGACAATTGATTTGATTTGCAGAACGTTATTCTTCAGTCGTGTAAAAATCAAATCTGATAAAGAAGCATGTGTGCCATGCGCGTGCGTAAAGAATAACGAAAAATAACGATCATGTAGAGCGGCGCGGGCGGCCCTAACGTAACTGAAGTGGATTAATTAAACGAAATTGATATATTAGACTAAATTATCGTATTAATTTATGTTGTAAGCGTAGGTATTGTCTAAATTAATTGTACCTGGTCTAGATTAAGGTTTTAAATCTGACATCTTGATATTGCCTGGCTTAAAAAATTTGATTGTCAAGTAATAGCATTTCAAAGGCTTGTGCTTTATGGTACTTGAAATTGTCAAGTCCGACACCACGTGCGCACGATTACTTTGTCTTCCTGGAAAAAAAAAACATTCGTAACGTTTCGAGCAGAGAGAAAATTCACGACACTTCAGCTTTTCGCCGAGACAATATTTGTGACGGATGACGACGACGGTGAAAATCCCGGTGCAAATCGCTCGCAATAACACGCGGAACGACACATCCTCGGCTAATTAGAATATAGCTGTTTTTTATGAGCGTGGAAGAGGAAGAGGGAGCCGAGATGGGTGGCGGTGGTGGGAGGGGAGAAGCAAGGAAACACGTACCATCGCGATATTTATTATACGGACCCCCTGCCGGACATTCGTATTTAACGGGCCGCAACCAATGGCCATCATCCACCCTCCTTCTTCTACGTATACCTCGGAGAATACCTTGCTGCTTTTCTTGCAGAAGCCTTCGCATGTCTCTGTTAATTCGATGAAATTCTCGTTTGTTTGACTGAAATTAAATCCAATATTTTATTAACTTGCTGTCAGTTTGATAGAAGGTGTCCGATAAGCGCGGATTGCTGGAAATAATTTTGAAAATACAGTTTTAGCAACTTGAGAAGCGCAAGTGATTAATAATTGAGAGATGAAATTAAAGACAGTTAATGCAAACTAATATTTTCCTAATATTGATATAGATTTTTTATTTACTTTAAATACATTTTACAGACACATGTGGGATTAATAAACATAACTAAGATTTTCTTAATTTTTTAGAACAATTTCAACTGAGCATTGACAATAATAATTATTGCGATTATTCTTTCAAATTCTTCTTTATTGCAGACAGAATTTTATATAAAAATACATAAATAAAATCATATAGCACTACATAGATATTAACAGGTAAATTTGTATGAATATACGTTGAATTAATTTAAATTTTAAATTAGGCAATCTCTTCAAATATTTAAACATTACTATATTTATTTTTGATAGCTTTATTTATCTTTTATATGTATTATCTATTACCTATTGATATGCGTTAAAAAATTATGATATGTATGCATTATAATTGGTCATAAAATATATTTGATTCACGCTATTAATTAATTATTTTCGCGCAATCACAAATTCGATTTCAGTATCTGAACGCATTGCGATGCAAACAGAGTCCTTTAATATTCGATGATTATTGAGACACAATGCGAGCACAGCTTAATTTAATAGGAGAACTCATACTCTAAGCCGTTGCTCTCTCAACAATCGTATAATGCTCACTATTATTAATGGGCTTTTTACTTTTTTTCGGTACCCAGAAGCATTTATGTTTGATCCAAACGTTCAACCCTAATCGGTTTCCGCAGATTTTCCGGGTGACAGAAGCCAAAAGAACATCCGTAGCATACAAAGAATGAGAACTCGGTCAAAACTTTTACAATAGAAAAAGATAAAAATTCTTTTTACGATAGAAAAGGATAAAAATTTCGATGTTGCAAGCACACAGAAAAAAATTAATCTTTAATCAAAACGAATATATTCAAATCAACACAATTATATTGTTTCATATATAAGCAAGAATATATAATTTTTTTAAGAGTTTTATATTCTTATATTTCAAGAATATTATAATTTAATTTGAATATTATAATTATTACATAAAGAGTAGGTACAATGTGATTATTTTTATGATAATAATAATCTTCTTCTTTTTTCCAATTTCTTCTGCTTCATTGTAAAATAATAAAATTGAATCAACATTATTTGTGTTCACGTAGAAAATATTGAATTTTAAAATAAGATTAAAAAACTGTTTTTATCGTTATAATATGAAAATTTTTGGTTTGAAAGTACTGTTATCCTCTATTCAATATTTTTGGCTTTTCATTAATAAAAATTATTTTTGAATAATAAAAATATATTTTTCCTTATTAAACTAAATACATATAATGCTTTAATGTAAGTAATTTATCTCTGTTTAACGTATAATCTCATTTTAAGATTTACATGTCAAAAATAAAGATATCCTTTAAGAATGTTATTTTTTTCTGTGTATTTTTCTAAACACTGATGTAACAGCAGTTTAGGTGTTACAATTATTTAGCATCTTCCACAAGTTGTAAGAGCTTGCGTTAATTTCTATCATTTAAAAGTAAAAAGAAAAAAGTGCGTTTACTTGAGAAAAGCTTCTGCGAATTTAAAGTGAACAATTCTTTGAATTTTTTGACACGCAACGCATGTCTATTACAGTTCTTCATTCGAGATTCGCTTCGCGTTATGTCTTCGAGTAAGCAACTTGTGAAATATTCGCTTGGCAGATACCGTGTTATGTCTTGTTATCATCTTCGCGTTTGAAACGACACTGGTCGATAATCAGCCGGACTGCGTACACGACCGGAAAATATCGAGAGAATACCGAGTGGGCCCACCACGAAAGCCTACAATCATGACAGAGGCATCGCGGGATCCTGAGGTGGCTGATTCAGAAAACACTGACAACGGCACGACAACGTTAAATCTGACTTGTTCGACGACCAACAAGAAACCTCTTCCGGATCGTGGAACATGGAGCACCAAACTGGACTTTATTCTCAGTGTGGTAATGGCATTATCATGTCGCCAAATCTTATTCAATCCATTATTGTTCTTAAGGGGATGCTGGAGTGGCAAGAATTACCGACATTTTTTTGAATAGATTAAACTTTGAATTGGCTTTACGGAATTGAAAAAACTTTTTTACAAAATTAAAGTACGCACAAAAACGGAGTGCGCTGCAGTCGATTTTACATAAAAACGAAAAAGAAAAATATAAAAATTATAGTTTTGTTATCGATTTTTGCAGTCGACTCGTGACAACATTTGCTGCACATAAAAATTTCGATTTTGTACGTATAAAATAAGCATGCAACGCACTCGGGATTACAAAAAAGAACAATGTTGTGCTTTCAAAAATGAGCCTAGAAGCTTTAGTATAAGAGAAAATTTTGTCTAAAAATCTCATAGTATGTATGCGTGCGGAGTAGTACTGCGTGTAGCGAGAGATGGCGCAGCAATTGAACAAAGGACAGATATCATTTCGTTAGACAAAGACAGATATAGAGAAAACAAAATTAGAAATGTTGACATTATTGACACCGAGAAAGTTCGACCGTCACTCCACCAGCATCCCCTTAAGCATATCGTCCGTTACGTTAATATTGCCAACTATAATTATTGATCAAATGCGTGAGGGCAAAGCGATATTACAAACAAAATGTTTCGCCAATTGTCAAAGATATTTCTAATATAAACATCAAATTGAAAGAGATTACCCAGACAGCACCATGTCCAAAATCGGGACATAAATTGGGCCTTAAAGACGTTATTAAGACGTCTTTTAGACATCATATCATAAGACGTTTTAAAAAATGTACAGTTATTCATAAAAATATCTTCATTATTAACATAACATATTAGCACTGTGCTTCGACGTTCACCATTTCTTCACCGTTTCTTTAAGGTCGGCCTGGCAATCGGTCTTGGCAATGTTTGGCGATTTCCATACCTATGCTATAAGAACGGCGGTGGCGCTTTCCTAATTCCCTACTTCTTGACGCTGTTCCTGGCCGGTATACCCATGTTCTTTATGGAGCTGGCTCTCGGGCAAATGCTCACGGTGGGCGGCCTCGGAGTCTTCAAGATAGCGCCACTCTTCAAAGGCATCGGTTACGCCGCCGCCGTTATGTCCTGCTGGATGAATGTCTATTATATCGTTATCCTGGCCTGGGCGATCTTTTATTTTTTTATGTCAATGCGCAGTGGTAAGCACACATTTAATTACGTTAAAAAATTCTCTTTTACATAATCTCTTATCGGGTATGTTTCATTTAATGATGAAAACAAGGACAAAGAGCTTGAGCGTTATTCATTACAACTGTCTCATGCAATCCGTTATAGAATTGCCTTGGGGAAGCTGCAACAATGACTGGAACACCAAGTATTGCGTGAATCCTTATGACAGAAGCTCGTTGCTTTGCTGGAGCCAGATCTCGCCGAGGAATGGTAGCGTCGTCAAGATGTGCACGCTCAATCATGTTAATGTGACAATGACGGAACTTACGGACCCTGTGAAGGAGTTTTGGGAGTCAGTATAAATACAATTTTTCATTTACTTTCGAGTACGTGACGCGCGTAATTTACGGATTTCTATATCACCGGACTTATATCAAGTGGACACCTCTAAAGTGTTACTATCTTCGCATTATTTAGTCTTGATAATTTCGCAATTTTATTTTTCAGACGTCGAGCGTTGCAGATCAGCGATGGTATCGAGTCCGTGGGCAATATCCGATGGGAATTAGCAGGTACATTATTATTAGTGTGGATAATCTGCTATTTTTGCATCTGGAAAGGTGTCAAGTGGACCGGCAAAGTCGTCTATTTCACGTCTCTCTTTCCATACGTGTTGCTCACTGTCCTTCTGATTCGCGGAATTACGCTGCCTGGCGCCATGGAAGGGATTCGATTTTATATCAGTCCAAATTTGTCTAAGCTTCGGGAATCCGAGGTAAGTTACTTTCTTTCATTTATTAGCTCTTGAAACTTATTTTATTTCTAAAACAATTTTGTAAACATCAACTCACTTGGCCAGTTGGGTCGAAAATAAAACGACTTATTATCAACTCACTTGAACTGACTTTATCGAAACGATTTTATTTTACATAATAAACAATAACATATAACTATAATAGTAAGATTTATATTTCCGTAATATATCAATTATGTTTTCGCTTAAGTTTTTTTAGATTTTAACTTTATTTTATAGACACAACAGTGCGAAGTAAAGATATTCTGTTAAAAAAAATATTTTTTAAATAGTATCCTAATAATATTATTTGAGATAAAGTATTCTGTAGACATTTTAGAGTATTCCGGGTTTTCCTTTTTATGATGCATTCACACAAAATGGAATTTGTAGGTATGGATCGATGCGGTGACACAGATCTTCTTCTCGTACGGTCTCGGACTCGGCACCCTCGTGGCCCTCGGCAGTTACAACAAATTCACCAACAATGTCTACAAGGACGCTCTGATCGTTTGTTCGGTTAACTCGTCCACTAGCATGTTCGCGGGCTTCGTGATATTCTCGGTGGTGGGTTTCATGGCGCACGAACAGCAGAAACCGGTCGCCGAAGTGGCCGCTTCCGGGCCAGGATTGGCCTTTTTGGCTTATCCGTCGGCGGTTCTTCAATTACCGGGCGCGCCGCTTTGGTCGTGCCTATTCTTCTTCATGCTGCTGCTCATCGGACTCGACTCCCAGTTCTGCACGATGGAAGGCTTCGTCACGGCTATAGTATTTGTTTTTCAAACTTAACTTCTAACTTTTCTCACTAACTTTTCTCACTCTAATCCTCAATAAAAAGTTATCAAGTCTCAGAAAGTTGTACTTTTAAACTAGAAGAAATTGGAAATTTAATTACCTTTTTTCTTAGCTTATACTCTTTGAGATTTGAAATATTTGACTTGGTTCGACTCTAACTTCAAGAAATTCCTTTTTTTTAGTGAGAAAAAAATATTCGCGTTTTAAGTTGTTAATTGATCGATTCTTCTTCAGGTGGACGAGTGGCCTCAGAAATTACGTCGTCGCAAGGAGTTGTTTATCGCCCTCGTGTGCGCCCTATCCTATGTCATCGGATTGTCGTGTATTTCTCAAGGTGGCATGTACGTTTTCCAAATCCTCGATTCGTACGCCGTTTCCGGCTTCTGTTTACTCTTCCTCATCTTCTTCGAGTGCATATCAATCAGTTGGGCGTTTGGCGTAACCCGATTCTACGATGGTCTGCACGATATGATTGGATACTATCCTCTTATGTGGTGGAAATTTTGCTGGACAGTGACTACGCCGATGATTTGTGTTGTGAGTACGATAAGTTTATTATCTTATCGCATATATCTGAGAAGAGTCAACTAACATGAACTGATTGCTTTCGTTTTTATTGTCTTAATTTAATTTTGAAGGTACTTTAATTGTGCTAAAAATAAACAGGTTTTTCTTAAAATAATGAGTAACACAATATAAGAACAAGAATTTTATAAATCTATATAAAAGATATGTATGTATATGTATATATATATATATATAT